GTGATTGTAATGAAGAATGTGTTACAAAGAAGGGTTGTTTCATTGTTTCAAAGTGAGGTCAAATTTACATAACATTAAAGGGCAAGTACAAGTTGTCCATAAATTGGATGGTCTTACTGGGGACTGCCGTACTTAATTCAAATCGAAACCTGTTGCCGTCGAGTCAATTCCGACTCATAGTGACCCTATAGGACAGAGTAGAACTGTTCCATAGGGTTTCCAAGGGGCAGCTGGTGGATTCGAACAGCTGACATTTTCGGTTAGCAGCCATAGCTCTTAACCACTGTGCCACCAGGACTCCACCTTAGTGTTAAGGTACTTTTAACCAATGATAATTGCTATTCCAGTTGTTCATTATAGGTGATCAGGTTGGAGTAGTAATATGGAAGCCTCCTTTTTTCTGTAACCAAAATAAAGCTATTTCTATTGACTCTAACCTCCCTTCAGTGATTTTAAGGTGCACGTTCTACTTGCAGAGTCTACTTTGGTGGCTCTCAGACAGTTCATGGCCTCTTCAGTTTCACGTGCCCAGCACTCTTCTCATCACGTAACATCTTTTATTGCACAGCAGTCATTCTTAACCAGGTTTTCCACATTCCCATCCCCAAATACTCTTTAATATTGAATTCATACAAATGAACCAATTAGCAGCTGAATCAGAGGCTAAAGAAAACTCTTGGATTATTTTTCACTAGGCGAGAGAGTTTAATGTTTCTGTAGGAAAAATTTCCCTGTTTATTGTGTAAAATGTTTTCCTGAGAAACTTAGGCTTGCAGTTTGCTAGGGAAATACTAGCACAGTTGTGAAGGATTGTGCTACAGTTTGCTCTTTTTACAAATTCAGCTGCACTAATAGAAGGATTTTCCCAACCAGAAAGTAGCTTACATATTAGAGTTTTCAGTTATTTTCCTTGACTCAGAATGCTTCTTTTCCTGAAAGAAATCCCAGGTATAAATGAAATTATGGCCTTTTCATGTCCCTCACCAGATTTGTAACTTAAATAGTCACACAATGCAGTCATATTTTCACTTTTGATAACTTCTCCAAGTGAGCATGCTTATTTTGTGGGGAACAATCTACAGTAAATTTGTGGTCTGCTTTAAATTTGATGAGGTCTTGAGTGATTTCTTTCATTGCACCTCTTCATTAACTTGGTCTAGAATTTTTAGCTTCTTAACAATCCTAATCAGTTCAGAGACTGACTTAGTGTCTTAGTGCTGCTATAACAGAGCTACCCCAAGTGGGTGGCTTTAACAAATTTATTTTCTCACAGTTTAGAGAGCTAGAAGTCCAAATTCAGGGTGCCAGTGCTAGGCAAAGGCTCTCTGCCTGCTCTTGGGGAAAATCCCTGTCTCAGCTTCTCTGGTGTTTCTTGGAGATCTCTGAGTGACATCTGTCTCTTCCCCATTTGTGCTTTTTTCTGTGCCTGATCCACTCCTTTTGTATCTCAAAAGTGACTGACTTAAGACACACTGTACACTGATAGGACCTCATTAACCTAACAAAACCTTATTCCTGACACATATTTTGGGGGGACCCAGTTCAACCCAGGGACTAAAATTGGTAAACTGCAGTTGTCTTTATAGAGAACAGATAGATAGCAGAAGATTTCTTGTCTCAGTTGATCCTTGCAGTAAAAATATAAAGAATATGGTTAAAAGCTCCTCATTCCAGTTTCTGCCCTTAGAGAGGTATGCCAAAGGAAGAAATGATCACTTTGTGCTCATTCCAGACCTAGCTTGTTATTAATTTTAACACAGTTTATAGTGCTAACCTGCTGTTTGTTCCAGGTACCAGTATTCAGCACCTACTGGGGTTTGCTTGTAAATACGTTTGACTGGAAATTTATCATTACATTACCATTTACACTGCCATTCCTAGAGCGATTCCTAGCGATTCCTAGAGAAGAGAGTGGCCCACGGTAAAAGCTTTCTTCCCAATCTTCAGTGCTCCTAGCTCTCAGACCCATTGTCCTACACTGACAATTCTAAAGGTGATTATTGCTGATGTGGGATATATAGAACAAATAAAGGATAGAAGATCCGAAATGCAAGTACGCATTCGGATTTCGAAGTAGAGCACGTTCAACTTGTGAGTATTCTGAGTCGAGGCTATGGTAAAGCTAGGGTTTTACCATAATAGTCCATCTCCAAGGTTGAGAGACAGACCAGGTTGGCCAGCTCCCTTTACTATCAGTGCTCTTAGAGATAATTAATATTACCACTACCCTCAAAAAATAAGTCCAGCACATTGAAGGTGTTTAGGATCAAAGCAGACTACATCTAGCAGGTAAATTTTAATGAATGAGAGGCATGCCCCAGAGAACAGCTGATAGCTTTGTAGAGCTTATCAGAGCGGAAACCATAACTGCTGGTTAAAGGACTTTGTCTGAATCTTGCAAGCCAAGCTCATGTGATTCAAAATCGGTATCCTTCAGGATTGAGTCCATAAATACTAAGCACAGCTATTGATGAATCAGATCTGGGTCTTAATCAATCATGAGGGTAAAATGGCAGATGTTTGAAGGGTGGAAGGCAGAGGAAGCCAGGAAGGAAATAGGAGATGTCATCTGTTGTAATTCTGTGCGATAATTAGTTTGCATAGGAGAGGATAAGTTCTGCTGGAACAGTGGTGGTATTTGTTTATATCCTGACTTGTTCTGAAAAATATTGGTGGCAGACCAGAGGACATTGGTCTGAGCTAAGCTTCTTTGTAAATGTATTTACTGACCATCACCTTTTTGAGCAGCTGATCATTAAGAAAAGAGCATAATGCTCTTTTAAGAACTATCTATATGGGATCAAATTGACCACAGCAACTTGACAGATTAGATAGGAACCTGAGGAGGCAGTGGATTTATGTTGATGGGAGAGGGGCATCTCAGAAAAGGAGGGTGAGAATGGTTGCACAACTTGAAGAATGTAATCAGTGTCACTAAATGGTATATGAAAAAACTGTTGAATTGGTGTGTGTTTTACTGTGTATATCGTCAACAACAAAATAAAATGAAAAGAAATTAGTTAATAGAGGAATTTGGTGAACAGATTTAAACTGATGTGTCCATTCTTAGAACTTGAAAAGTACTTGTTTACAGATATTGAGAAAATGTCTGTTAGATTTTTCTTAGAATCATAGAAGTATTAATGATTATCAAATAAAGTACAACTTTTTTGGTAGTGTGAAATAAGTGTATCTATAGAAAGAATTATTTCTACCTGTAATCAAGCTCACTTTTAATTATATGTCTGCATCTGGTCCCTTTCCACCTCCGCTGCTCCAACACACACCCAAAAATCAAACTCCGTACAGGCAGCAACTAGTGTTTCCGCGTTTAAAGACACTCAGTAAACATTTGAAAAGAATGACTATAAGGTTAAATGAGACTTTGAGGTTAACTTAATTGGAAATAAAGGTTGTCTTAATAAATAAGCAGATGGAAGTAATTTTAATATGAGCATTCTAATTCTGTTTATTTTTGGTACTTTATCTGTCAGCTAAAAAGTTGCCGAAGAGTGAACCACAGAATCCAGGAGCCAATTCTACCAGAGGAAGAGGAGTAGACCTTACTGAACCCACACAACCAACCAGGAGTCAGTGTTGTAGTAACTAAACCTCTAGTTTGAACTAGCTGGAATATTCTTCTGCTTCCTAAATGTTAACAGTGGAATTGGAGCATTTAACCAGCCCAGTATGACTTCCAGAAAGAAGAGACTTATGATAGAGTCAAGTTTCTAATACAGAATTATTTTAAGTGTTTTGAACTTAATTTTTAATAACATGCATGTGTCCCTCTGACTAATGTTTCAGCAATAGAAGGGAAAAGAAAGAGCTGTGTGTACACTTGTTTCCTTGGAAGATTAGGGAAATCGTTTCTCATCAGCAGGGATATAGAGAAATGACTGTCTGGACCCACAGTTAACCAGCCAGTTCCTCCGGACTGGTACAATAGTCTATAAGAAAGATTTGGAATTTACTAATTTGGGCCTTTCAAAAACATTCTCTTTTTAGGAGACTCTAAAGATATTTATGCTTAGCTACAGCATTCAGGCAGATGGTAATTTCTCTTGGTATCTATATTTAAAGTGTACATTCCACATTTTAATAAACTAGCCACAAGAACACAGTCCCGCATCTTCAGGGGAAAAAAATGAACACTGGTGGCATACTGTACCTAAATTATAGCCAGTCCTGTTATTTCTTAAATGGTGGTAAAAATCAAATGTAACCTATCTTGTTTTAGAAATACGAAAACTGATGAATGTGTCTTGATGGATAGTATTCCCTTCAACCGTGAGCTCTTCAATAAAAGTGAAACAGACCAGGTGTCTGATTGCGGTTTAATCACTGCTGGCCATTTACTTAGCGTGGTTTTGTTGTTTGGGGGCAGGAAGGGAGCTTGTTCCCTTTGGACATAATATAGTCAGTGCACTAACAATTATGTACATTCAAACTTGATTATTTTAAATTTGATCTTCAGATGTACTGTAAATAGGGTACTGCATTGTAGCCTCCATATATGTTTAATACTTTCTGTAATATTTAAGAGTTGCTTAAAAGTGTACAAAATGTACAGTTACTAAAACAGCTAATTATTTCCTTCTTTCCCCCTTTCACAGGAAGGGGCTTCAGTTGTTCCTACATTGCTAGAACCATAATAAACAAGGTATCTGTAATTTGTAACATAAGTATTGCGATGTTAGTAACGATCTTTCAGCCAGCTTTGTTTTCCAGAGTTCATTTTATTTTGATCGGTTCAGTATATTGCACTAATTCTTTTAGTTATTTTCATTGTATGAAATCTACCATGTATGCGTCAGAGATGATTTAATCTATTTAAGTGATGAACTGCTAGCAGAACTTGTACATTTACAGTAATTCAGAATTAGTAAGGAAAACAGTTTACCAGTGTTTAGTTTTATATTAAGGTGCTCAGGTTTGAATAAAGTGGTATAAACAGCAAGTATTGTTTCTTTTCTCTTTCTTGGCAGGAAACAATGAACATGTGTAAATGGTATTATGTAACTTAAAATCTTTTTTCTTTACTATGCTCTTAAAAATGACTTACATAATATCGATGTATTCTAATGTCTGGTTCGTTGGAGAGTTGCCTTTATGGTGTTAAATGTCTTTGTATTCTGGAAAATCAGAACATTATCTTTTTATATCAGAAACTGATATTCACTTCCACTGAGAAGTATTACCACAACTGTAATGTTGTCTCTGGAGCCAGCTGTTAAAGCAGCATTTACAAGTTCCTGGCTAACGTACTTAGCCGCATCTTCATAGAAGCTGTTAGTGCGTGCTTCCTTTTCCTTCTCATTCGGATCTCTTGGCACACCATCTACACTGACTTGTCTATCAGTTTTTTCTGTACTGTAACACTGGTGAATAGTCAGTTTTGGTGGAAATGTTTCTAAATTTTCAAGGTCACAGATGGACTGTTGAGAATATTTTGAACCGCACAAATTTTCTTTTGAATTTATAGTTGGCACTTGTTCTTTAGATAAAGGTTTATACTGATACAATACGTGGATATTACTTTCTGGTTTTGTAGTACTTGGTTCACTGAGTTTGGATGGTGAAGATTTGTTTTCTATAATGAAGTATTTTTCTTTATATGTGTGAAACATTGTCATTGCCAGTGCGATAACTTCATTTTTATCCAGAACTTCCCAAAGTCCATTAGTAGCTAGTACAAGGAATTGACATAAGTCATCTATAGGGACTGAGATAGTTTGAGGTGCTGGAATAATGAGTTTTTTCAGTTTGAGATTTCCGTGAAATCCAAGTCCTCGTGTGGTTTTTGTTTGCCCTTCTAGGAGCCCATTTGGTTCATTTGAATTAATTACTGCTCCATTATGAAGTACTCTTCTTCTTTCCATTGCATTTTGCGTAGTATGTTCTTTGGTTAGGCAAAAACCTTTACCATTTCTGCATAAGACTGCTTGCACATTACCTAAAGGATTATTTTTAAAATGAAAATTTGATCCTAAAGATTTAATGACCAGTTGTATCAAAGAATACTAATAATTTTACTAATTCCGTTTTTCAGTGTATAATCAGAAAACAGGTCACTTAAAGGTATTTTTTAAATATGTGATTCATATTAGGATGATATACAGTAATTCAGATTTCAAACTGAGAGGTGAGTTTCTCCCTTATTTTTAAGCACCAGTGTTTAAAATACTGCATTTAGTATTAAGTTAAACTACAAAAAGTGAAAAATTGAAGTCAATTTCTTGTATGAAACAGCTTCAAAATATTATCTGTTTTGGATAGTCAAGATGTTAAACTTTTATAACCAACATATATTCTACACAGCAGATACCTACAAATGTTTGAACAAATGCTTCTGCAATTAAAAACGAACTCAGATATTTAAAAATGGAGTTTGACAATTTTAGAGCTGGTAAAAATTAAAATCTGAACATATTTAGGTCATGAGTGATGAAAAATTAGAATTTTACTGTTAATGTCAGCTATTAGGTTCCTGTAATGTGTGATTAAAAAAAAATTAAGTCAGCCTTCATTTGAATTAATTATTGAAGAAAAAATAGTATGTATTATTTATGTATTAAATGAGTAATAGCTAGCCAACATGAAATTAAACCCTTTGGTTGAAAACTGAAATCTTAAAAATTTGGTTGCAGTTCTTGGTTCAGATGAGCCTGTGGTGTGTGTATGTACTCCATTGAAATTTTTAAAGAAAATCTAATGCTTTTAACAGATTGAGAGGTGATTGTATTACTGAAACTATCTTTGGGTTATTGAAAAAAGTTTCACAGAATTTCTTCAGTTTGTTAGGAAACATTTTCCCCAAGTTTTTAGGAATATAATTGTATATTCAATCTCAGTGAGTAGTTTTTCTTAATATAGAATCATTTGTCTTTTGTAAAAGGGTATCTAACTTAAACCTAAGATGGAGTTAGTGATGTTTGGATATTATAATTTCTTTGAGAATTAAAATTCCTGGAATAGTATGTAAAACTTACTTTAGATATTTAGAATATTCTGGTTTCAAACATGGTGCTGTACCTAAAGTGAGAATTTTGTTGCTGCAAAGACTCAATTAAAATCGCTCAATTTTTTAGGTAAAGGAGTTGAGGCTTAGAAAGGCTGAGGTCCGCACACCTACTGTGATTGTACAGAAAGAGCGTAAATTGATAAAGCATTGGTAATGGCCAGTGTTAGAGGAGCTTATTAGCTCACATCCATAATGGGAATTATTAAATCTGGGTTACTAGGTTGTGACCAAACGATGATGTATTGGCTGGGGGGGACGTTTGGGGAACCTGATGGTAGTCCTAAAAACTACATGACTTCTTCTGCTAATATTTTGTACTGATTTGTCTATTCTGCTGTAAAATATTCTTGACTTTTGCTGGGTTGCAGATTATTACGGTATTAGCAAAGCTGCAAGGAATGCAACATGCCTACTAGGTAAATTGTGAATTGTTCTAAGAGAACATATGATGCAAAACCTCTTTTAAATTAGAAAATTTCTTTGTGGATCTATGCATATGAATAGTGCACCCATAGCTCTGAAGACATGGGGGACGTAATTTGGCTCAGAGAATAATCAAATCCATTGACTTCCTAAACATTTGCATGTGGAAAGCCAAAGTCCATTCAGTGCAAAGAAAGCATTGTTCCCTGCTGTGTGATTTGAAAAGAATTTAATACAGTTATGAAGTTATAATGGAAAGATGGTAAACTGGTATTTTGATGTAGTTTTCTCTGCAAAGAACTTGGTAAATGTAGCCTTACACACTAGAGAGTAGAAAAGTTATTTTGGTTCATCTTACTACTTACAAGCACGCTTGGGTTCAATAAAATTTCTTAGTGGAAGGGACATTAAATCCCTGTTGAGTTCTTGCTGTACCACCGGCTTGTTGTCTGACTTTAAGGAGTTATTTCATACTGCTTATTTATCTTTTTAAAAATGGAGAGATGGCCACCTGAATGGTTCATATCTTTACCTGTGTGAATGAATGGTCCATGGGGGGAAGAGAAAGTGGAGAAGTAGCTACATTTATGCATATAACCCTGGAAGTTTAGAGGATAAATAAGATTCAGGCCCTGGAAGAGTACTTCTAATGATAGCAGGCATTAAAAAAAAAATGGATGTCCAGAGTCAGTAGTTTTACTTCCTGATGTTGGGGTTGCTAAAAATGGGGTTGTTGCAAATGGGGTTGCTGAAGGTAAATGACTTCATTAAGTTGAAAGGTACAATAGGATGATTGTAGGTACCAAGGGAGATGGAATATTGGAGGAAGATTAAAAAATATCACTGTAAAGTCCATGTAGTTTAGAGGACTGAAGGAAAAGAGAGGAGCAAATCTTTGACAGTTTTATGAGGGAGAACAGAATAGCTTTACAGAAAGGTTCCTGTCACCTCTGTTTGGATGAAATGAGAACAGCTAACCAAGCAGTAAACTGTGATGAAGACCCTTACACAAAAATATGAATGAATTTGAGCATAAATGAAAATTCAAATTCCCAGAAGTAAAATTATGAGCTGCAGTTAATTGGCGAGAATGTACTCTTCAGAAAATGCTAGCAACAAAAAAGGAATAGGGTTACTGGAAGATTAGCATGGTTAGGGACAGTAGTCATACATAGGGATTAAAAAGCTGCCTTGAGGTTCTGTGCAAGCCTTTTGTTTAAATGGTATGAATAGGCAGTGTTTCTTATGCAGAGTAGCAGTGTAACTGCCTTCTGCAATTAGAGTTAACTGCCAACTTTCGTGAAAAAGAAAAGAGTTTTCTTAAAACCAGGAAGGTCGCTTAACTGTTGAAGAGAATGGGAAAAGTTTAAGTGAGAGTTAAAGAATATCTGGAGAAAAGAGGAAGGGAAATCTATGCAGTGTAAGAAAAAAGAAACATGCTAAGGATGCACAAGAGTGCCCTAGGGTAAGAAAGACGACTTGTTTTAGAAGAGATAGGGGATGTGGAAAAACTTGGGAGCGTGACACATGTGGACTTCAATCCCAGCTTGGTGTCTGTGTGGCTTTCATTAAATCACTTTATTTCCCTGAGTAGCATTTCTTCACCTGCAGTGTTACTCTTATCAAGGTTATTGTGAAGATTCAAAAAGGTAAAGTTAGCATAGGTAGACACTTAATAAAGTTTTCCTTCCTTTGTGTTCCATGAAGGGAAAAATGGGAAGAGAGGCTGTCCAGAAGAAATTGAAGGGAGATGAGAAGTGTTTAATTTTAGACTCATTCTAAAGAGTTGTAAGAAAATCTTTATGAAGTAGAACTACAGGCTTTAGAGGTTGGGAATCAATAATTTAGGAGGAAATAGTTATTGAGGAAAGAAAAAGGAGCAATTCAAAAGGAAGATAAACAATCAGGTAATTCAAACATGCTTACCAAACCCAACCCAACCCATTGCCATCAAGTGAATTCAGACATACAGTGACCCTATAGGACAGAATAGAACTGCCCCATAGGGTTTCCACGGCTGTAATCTTTATGGAAGCAGGCTGCTACATCTTTCTTCTGCAGAGTGGATGGTGGATTCAAACCACCGACCTTTTGGTTAGCCAATTGCTTAACTCCTGTGCCACCAGGGCTCAAGTATGCCTAAAATGGGAGTATAATAGAAGTGCATTAGTATGTAGATGATGTTAGAGAAACAGTGTATATCCAGGTTTTCTTTAGGACTCTTAATTTTTGCAAAACAGGCAGAATTTAGTTACATGCGTGAGCACCACGTGTATGACTCCTACTGATGGTTAGCTGAAGAGTTTTCTGATGGACTGGTTTTCATTGGATGTTCGAAAGATTTGTTTTGCAAGATGTACGATCATGAAAACATTCACCATTGTACCCCTGGAGCCTAACAATACTTTGCACACGGGTCTCAAATATTCGTGAAATGTTAGTTGAATGTGTCCTCAGAGCCAGGTTTGTATGTGTAAGTCCACCACCACCACCAAAAAAAAAAAAAAAAAGGTGTGTGGTTATGTAAAAGATCAGTGTTATTTAAGAATATGATTTCTTATCAGGATCAAATAAAGGAGATGCTGGACTTAAATTATGATTGGGGGGGAAAAGGATAAGGAGGTTGGAAATAATTTTTAGAGCAACTTATTAAACAAGTACATCTCTAGAAACAATTATGTCTAGACAAGAAAAGGAAATGAGGTCTTCAAATAAAGCATCAGTCATGGTTGAAGAAAGAAAAGGTCATATAGAAATGAAGATACACCCTAAAAACAGCAGACAGCTGATGTTTAGTTGAAGTAATGAAATTTGGAGTCAAAAGGACTTGAGTTCTGTCTCCCTGGTTATATGTGGAGACCTGGTGGTGCAGTGGTTAAGAGCTACAGCTGCTCACCAAAAGGTTGGCAGTTCGAATCCACTAGCTGCTTCTTGGAAACCCTGTGGGGCAGTTCTACCCTGTCCTATAGGTTCACTATGAGTAGGAATCAAATTGATGGTAGCAGGTTTGGTTTGGTTTTTTTTTTTTGGTTTGGTTATATGTAGTCTTATATAATACTTTTGTGAGCCTCTATTTTCTCATTAAAAATGTGATTATTATCGTTACTTTAAAGGTGAGGATGAGATGAAAGGAGTCACTTAAAACTCAGAAGGAGAAAAGGAAAGGGAGCTTGAGGTGGGCACCAATTAAGGAACTGCTAATAATAGAGAAGTACTCAAGTCACGCCTGCTCTCTGGATCTAGTGTGAGTTCATGGGACAGAAAGAAAACGGGAACTGGGAGACAGAAGTAGTCTATGGGGAGGCCTCATTAAAAGGAATTATGTACAACATAGACAAAGATATTCGTATCGTGTATACAGTGAATTCTCATTATTCATGGTTGTTACATTCCTTAAGGATGCCACAAACACTGAATTAGCAAATACTGAGCCATTTTTTCTAGGGGAACTACAGGGTTAAGTTCCTGCTAGCCTCTGGTCACAACATTTTTATCAACCAATCAGTATT